AAAAATGGAATATGTGGGTAAACTGGGAAAAATATCCAGAAAGGTTTACTTTTGATACACATATATCCTGTGCATAGCTGAGAACCACTAATGAGCAAAGGTACAATGTTGGGGAGTCGCAGGTTGGCAGAGTCAGTTAATCCTGCAGTTTCCCAATAAACCTATTATATCTCATCATTGCATTCAGCCCTCATGCCTCATTCTTTATCTTCATTAGTGACTTACAGCTTTTTAACACCATCACCCAGCCAGTGATGGTGATATAAGACCTGTCTTGATTACCAATATTTTGGCACAAAAATAGTAAGATGGTTCTAGAAAATTCTGAAAGTCACCAGAGGGAAAATGACTTAAGGTAGGAGCATTCTAGGCAACCTTTTGCTGGTTAGAGGCTGTGTGTGTGTGTGTGTGTGTGTGTGTGTGTGTGTTTTGCTTTTTCAAAGGCCAAGGTTAACACTGTGATAAAGTTACATGACTGGGGAAGATTGGTTCACATAGATGCCTTCTTTCCTGGTTCTCTGTCAAATGTTAACAACTTGCTTTCTGGGAGTTCCAGAAGACACACAGACTGTCTTTGATGCAACTTATTGGCTATGAGTGCCCACCGTTATTCTAAATTAGTCATGGAAAACCTGAGGCCTTCCAGATATTGTTGAATATCATCTCCAGTCTATCCAGGTTGCTGACACTCTAGGTGGTGCTCATGGCTTCAGCATTTGGAAAGCATGGGTTTCTTCACTTGCTCTAAAGCCAATTCACATGTTTGTTTTTAGTGGGTAGATTCTACTCACTGAGATTTTAGCTGCTACTTTGTGAAACATCTGCCATGTTTTTAGAATCCTGAAAAGATTATTCAAAGATGTTCTATGGCATACTATGTGAACAGAACTGGAAATCTTTTAAAACATTCACAGTACAGGAAGCAAAGTGGAGTAAAAAAAGTACTTAATGGCTTACCAAAGGATCACAGGAATTCTGTTGTTCCCCCACCCCCAATCTGCTCTTTCTCTCATCATCTTCTCCTGCTCATGTTGACAGGATCAGAGAGCGCAGAAAGACTCCCCAGGAACGCCAACGGGAGATATGCGAAGATTATTATCCATGTGAAAATTATGCTGCGCGCCATGGCTACGTTGCTGCCTACAAACGGTTCTTTGGGCAGAGGAGGGGCGAGTGAAAGCATTACCATTCCCAGTGCCTGGAGCCTGGATTTTGTAGCTACAAAGAGTGACATCTTTGAAATGTATTGTTGCTTCTTAACTGCATATTATTCCACCTGTTGCTTCATTCTTTTGTAGCCAGTGATTTCTAGTATCTGTTAATTAGCACAATGCTGATGTAACCATGGTTGGGCAGAGAAGGGATGTAGGTGTTTCTTATGAAATAAACAATACGGTTTGTTCATAACTGAAGAGTTTTCTTTCTGCTATTTGCATGTCAAAGATGAAGGTGCATATTTGTACACACTTACTTAGAATTTAAGATATCTAATAAAATACTTTGTGTTGGATGTAGATCTAGGATATTTATTAAATTATATACTGGGAGTCAACAGCATGGTATCCTCATGACACCCCAGAATATCTAGGAGAGCCTCTAAATTTTAAATTTATTTTTTAAAAGGTGTAAAAGTAGGTGAAATCTCAGAAGATAATAAAATCTTCTGCACAAGAATTCGATGTTCTTTCGGTGTTCTTACATGAAATTGCATAAGGATTTGGGGTGGTGGGGAGAGATTGTCAAAATCTCACAAGATTGATGATCTCATGAGAAATTGTTTTATTTTATTTCTGTGCCTTCGAGTCAGTGTAATCCCTGCAGTTTTAGGCATTCAAAATTTATTATTTGGGCTGCCCTGAAAAGTTGATGACCCTATTATATAGTAATACTAATAGGTACTGGTCCTTACAACTCTATCCAAGCATTTCAGTGGGTTTTGTGATTATTGCCTCAATCTTAAATGTTTCCATGATTCAGCTTAGCTTTCAATAAATAAAGTTATACTGTGAAAAGTTAGGCCCCTGTAATTAAAGCCATTAGTTATTGAAAATATCCAGATGGCTATGCTCCAAGAGGCATAACTTTACTTCTATCTCATTCCAAATCAAGTAATAACATTACCTCCTCCCCCCACCCCAACAATTATGATTGCATAAGCCACCCAGGGATTCATTCATGTAACATAGCATGCTGATGTGGTATGTTTATCAGTGTTAAAGAAATGGGTACAGCACCAAAGCTTCAGTCTTTTGTGATTATTTGCACCCCATTACTATCCACTGTAATTTAGACAGTAGTGGGCTGCAAATATATTGACATTGTCTTTAAAGATGGCAATGTCAAAACACACAGCAGCTTTTCGATTTGTTAAATATATGCAATATTCAAACATTTAGGTCTTAACCTGTAGTGGGTTCTTTTGCAAGTAACTAAAACATGTAAAAGCAATGTGAACAGAGACAAATCAGCCAGAGATGGATGCTATGAAATGGTTAATATACTATGAAGCATATTAAGTAGACTACCTGTGCAGAAATAGCATCGGTCTTATGTACACAGAGAGAGAGAGAGAGAGAGAGAGTAAAAGAGATCTGAAAGTCTGGCATTATGGCAGAAAAGCACATTATTCTCTGTATTGCCTAAGATTGTTCATGCAGAACATGAATGGAGTTCAGATATTCTGATTTTTTGGACATGCTTCTCCTTGTGCAAACTGTGCACAACTGTATATCTAGCCATGAAGGCTGAATGCCAAATCTTGTGAAAGTGTTCATTCACCATTGGTAGGACTGGCAGAGATTGTTCAGAGACAGCTAGAGTTTTTCCAGCATTTAATAAGGTATACTCTTATTCAAAATGTTTTGTGCAAACTGTTCTGTAAATATCTAACAATACAGAAAAGCATAGTTACTGAATAGATTATCTAATTATCTCATCTTTAAGTGGTACCATATATTTTTAGAAAATTAGTGTTTTTATACATCTACCACTTATGAACAATATCAGCCTTTTTGTTGTCACAATTCCAGAATGTATCCCTTAAATCAAAATACATTTTGGCCAATATACAAAATACAAAACATTTAAAGATTTTTTAAAAGTAAAAGCATGAATAAACTTTACAAACTTTTGTAAATGAAAATTTTCAAGCATCTTCAACAATTTCAGAAACGTATGCCTTTCAAGCCTAATGGTTGACATGAGAAGCAACTGCAATCTGTCCAACATACTATCATTACATACCATATATTTGGCACCAATAGAAGAGATTAGAAGATCTGCAACTGATGTAAATATTATGAATAGAGTATGGGGTTGTGTTGTGGCCAAAATTCCAGCAACACAGATGTTGAATACATTTGGAGGCAAAGACATTACATTTTTATATTTTGCGCTTGGAGAAATCATTAAATCTGTGTATGCTGATATGGCACTAGTGTGGCTTTTGAAAAATGTATGGTATGTAAGAGACCTGAACTGAGATTTTTCAGCAGCCTTTATGGACTTATCAGAAAAAAAGCAGCTGTAGAGAAGGCATGATGCCAATTGCATAAGGGGATTACAATTCTAATGACACTCTGAATGCATTGGGTGAGGAAAGATATATTCAGAACTTTTCAAAAGTTGTGATCTACACCAGGAGCAGGGAACCTATAGTCTGCATGAATTTGTAATTCAGCAACACCTGGATGGCCACAGATTCCCCATCCCTATTCTACATGAGCTATCTCCACCTACTAGAATGATTCCACAGGGAGACTATATTACAAGAGAAATCAAACTTCCAGGTTCTCTGTCGATATGTATTTTGTTCCCCTTTACTTCACCCTAACTTCAGTTTAGGTTCCATTTTGTTCTAAGGAATAGACTAGAATATTCTGTGACCTGAAATATCAGTCTAATTAAGATCAACACCTTCTGGATAAATTTAATTGAAACCTGAACTGGCTGATACAGTACCCTAAATCTGAACTGGCTGACATAATGGGCAAAAGATTATGAAGCATTATGATTTCTGTCCAGGTCACCAGAATTCATAGCAGTGCAAATGTCACTGTTAACAACTCTCCTCTGGTTTTGGTTTCCTTTCCTAAGAAAAGTGTCCAGGAAATCAGGTTGTATATCTGACACAGCCAAGGCATAGCCCTGAGTTAGTACAATTTTTGAGATCTTCAGATATGCCTTCAAGCATATCTTTTAAGGAATATTATATCATCTCTGTACCTGGATGGTGTGAACTGTTACTTATGATCATGGCTGTATGCAAGTGGGCAAGGAAGGGCGAACAAAGAAGTGTGTCATAATGTCACAATGCAAACTCTGTCTCTTTTTATATGTCATGTCACATGCAAGTATGTAAGGGATACAACTTGCATCATAATATTATGATCTACAATTGGACCTTTTTGACTTCTACTTGCTGCAGACACCATACATGTGAATCATTTTCAGAATATACACAGCTCACCTTAGCTGTGAGTACTGTAATGGAAAGGTTTGATTTTCAGCCACTCTTTCTCCCCAGCACTTTTTCCTCAAAGGCTGAATATACAAAATGGAACAATTAATTGGGTTTAGGTGTTCCCATAACATGGATGACTGAGTGCAACTAGTTTAACCCTGTACATGAACCTGTTTTAAATTAAATTTAACCCCTTTTGATATTCCCATAACATACTATAGCCTCTCCTCTTAATATCATCTGATATCATTGGAAATCCTTTGGAGAAAACCTGGGGAGGTAACTACTGACCTTGTAGCTCTATTTGTAGGACCAGGACTACTGAAGTTCTTTCCAGCTGAAGCTACATGGTAGAGTTTCCATCATCTGCCCCCTGGGTGTAAAAGGGATATGTCCCTGGTATGGTGTGGTTGTTAGCTAAAGGAGTAATTCTAAAGGTGGGGAGTTCTATTGGGAACATAATAGGGTAGTTCTTTGGGTGAGCTAACTTATTGTTTTGCAAGATTGATGTCAATTTTACTAGATAGACCAGACAGGAAACATGACTAGATGAGCTAATTCTACTTTATTATAAAGCTACATTAACAGAATCTTGCAAGTCTGAAAGTATAGTTCTCCCCTTGTCTCCTTTACAGCCCGAGAAACTAGGGAGGGTCTCTTCTGAGCCTCTTGCCCACCCACTATTCAGCTGTGGGCTATGCTGTCTCTTATCTGACCGTTCCCTAGGCAGTATCTCTTGGCCCATTCTCCCAAGGTCATTCCCATATACCATTACAATATCTGGGCTGTCTGGCAGAATGGGGCCCTGAGGACTATTCTGCAGTTGTTCTGGTCTCTCCTCTTGAACTGTACCTGGAAATTGATGCTGGTGAACTACTGTTTGACCTATGGTGTCTTATAGGATCCTATTTTGTCCCTTCTATTGTTTCACATATACATAAAACTGCTGGGGTAGATTGTTCAGACCTTTGGAATAGGGAACTATCAACATGCTGATGACATCTAGCTCTAATGCTCCCTACTATCTCATCAGTACCCTTGTACTGCCAAATCTTGGTAACGGGCTGAATGAGGGTGAACAAGCTGAAATGGAACAAGTTTAGAAACATTTAGTATATTTTGAATTCATTTTTCACGCTTCATAACTCAGTTCCCTTTTCTTTGAAAAATAATATCATTTAGGGGATTGAATATGTTGCAAAATGTGAAATAGTAAGATTCTTGTATGCATGTCTGTGGATTATAAGATACCGGAGTGGCCTTCTTCAATCTGGTGCTCTAATTGGGAAAGATGGGAATTGTAGCCTAACACATGTTGAAAGCATCAGTCTGGGAAACCCTTCATTTTTTGTCTCAAGATGACTGAAGATCCCAAATGTCAGCATTTCCTTTTCTTTGTTTGTGCTCTGTTAGGAAGGGATCCATGCAATCCATCAACCTCAATAGTTGGATAAGATTAAGTGATTAACTGAACAAACTTCTCTAAAGTAGCCAAAGATTACTTGAGCCAGCAAATGCTGAGTTGTTATTAATGCTGTCATTGTTAGTGTACTGAAATCCAATACTAACAGAACATTTCTCAAAATGAAAAACACATAAATTTGTTGAAATCCTCATGTCTCCTTGGGTAAACTACTCAAAATCCAAAGTACCAAAGGGACTAAAATGTTCAGCATTGTATGAAATGCAGTTTGTTTCAAAATAATTAAACTTTAGTTGCATGAAACAGTACAATACAATCTGTAATTCAGTTTATCAGCAGGAAAATAAAAACTATTCCAAAATATCAGCAGGACTCATCGGATGGATCATTTGATTTCATAGTTTGCTTTAGCTTTGGTTTGCCTAATAAACATTGTGCTAATCTATAAACCATTGTTTGTAAACTAAAATGGGTGCCTTCACACAGCAGGCTAAACCACATTCAAATGAATTACATTATGACTTAGCACAATTCATGAATCAATCATTTGTTTTACAGTATTTAACTCAATTATTCTCAATTATTAAGACTCAAGTAAGACTCAATTGTGTCTGGGTCCACACAACTGGCTGAGGCAAGAGGGAATCACACTATGGTTTAGAATGCTGGGTGAACCCAACCCCAGCAGGACTGGTTTTCATTCTTGAGAGCCGTTGGTTGGATATGCCCAACGTGCTGTAAATTGGTCAGCAGTGGGGCAGAAAAGGATTAGTTTCAATTCAGAACAGATACATTCTGGGTTAAATTATCTTTACCAGGTCTTCTAAGCCATTTCTAAATCAGTCATGGCAGGAGGGAGAAGTTAGCTCCTTACTGGCAGAACCCTGGCAGCCCCAAATTCTGAGTGGGTGCATTATCTAAGCCAGTGTTTTTCAAATTTGGCAACTTTAAGATGTGGGGACTTCAACTCCCAGAATTCCCAGCCAGCCGGCTGGAGAGTTCTGGGAGTTGAAGTCTATACATCTTGAAGTTGCCAAGTTTGAAAAACACTGATCTAAGCCAAGTCTATTTCTGTGTGCCAGGCAAAATGAGGAAATGGCTAGGGATGGAAGGAAGCCTTGTCAGTACTCTTCTGGTGCAAGTGTTCATAGGATAGCAAAGATACCATGAGGAAAGTAGGTGGAAACTGTATTCCTCAAAATATTGGCTTTGGAACTAGTTAGTGTGATTCCGTGCTGCCATAACCACAGTAAAGAATAATGACAGCATTAATGGATGGTTTAGTTAAATGTATTATGCAATAATGCCAATCTATCATATAGTTAAGTTCTTAGTTTTGAGATTGGTTTCCTTTATACAACAGCTGTGGAATACTGTTTTTTTCAATACTGTTTTTATTTATAACTTAGGTGAATCTAAATAAAAATACAGTAAACACCAATATGTCAGCTGATCTTCTCTCTCCCCTCAGATTTCTAAACGGAAACTTGCCCTCCTCTTCAGCCTTCAGAAAATTCTTAACATTCTCTCTGTTTCTTCTGAAATGGAAGCTGCACAGAAGCTTTCTCACTGAATCTATTTTGAAGAGATCTCCAACTCTCAGGAGAATTGCAGACCCACCAATGAATGTTCTTGGTTTCTTAATTAGATAATCCTCACCAGCTATAATATGGTGAATTCCCCCCAAACTGCAATACTAAATGATACAACATATTTCTGTAAAATTATTCACATTCACATTATTTTTTTTGTCTCTCCCTGAAATGTCAAAAGTATGAGCATTCTTTTTTAAGCATGGCCTGATAGAATTTTGGAAAGGCTGTCTGAGTCATAAAATTTCTTGGGGGAATTATTTTAGCTTACAGGCTGCCAGTTAACCATCTCTGGGCAATTCCATGCTGCAGTTTAAGTTGTTTGTCTCCCATGCTGGTCTCATCTGTTTCTTAAGCCAACTTCAGAAATTTCTGACTGGATTGCAGTGGGTTAGCAATAGTGCTGGTGCTCAGTCCAGACTATGTAAGACCTGAGCGACTGTCCTCCTGCTTCTTGCCCTTCCCAGCCATGCATAGAAGGAAAGCTTTTTTGTCTGGCTCCTGTATGGACTGGTGTACCAGTGCCTGATTTTTTCTTTTAGGGTTTATTTCTTCCTCGCTAGTCCCCTGCTCCCCCCTTTCTTTTTTTGGTCCTGGAGAAAAATTGATCCATGTGGTTGCTAAAAGTCAACACCAGCTTGATGGTACAAACAATCCCTTGCCTTTGCTTTGCTTTCCCAGATGTTCACATGTATGGATGCCTTCCCTCCCCCACGCTCTTTTGTCTCTAACATAGATCCTTTCTATTTTTTCTTTTATGGTACCACTGTAGTTCAGATGCTACTATAATCAAAACAATAGGGAACAGGTTGTTCTTTCATTCCTCTGTCCCTCTGTAGGTCCATAGAAACTTTGTAGTTTGTCTCTAACATAGATCCTTTCTATTTTTTCTTTTATGGTACCACTGTAGTTCAGATGCTACTATAATCAAAACAATAGGGAACAGGTCCCTCTGTAGGTCCATAGAAACTTTGTAGCAAGGAAGAACTAATAGTTCAGCTCCACAGAAGCAAAGCAGCAACTTTCCTACCTTGCGACTGAAAGATGTTAAAGGGAAGGGGAGTGTGGCAGTACTGTGGGCAGAGGGTGGCAAAGCAAGGGGAGCATGCTTCATCCAGCCTAGGCAGAAACCAGAAGGGTACCCATTGGGAGGTATAAGGGAGCATGAGCTTCTAGGGTGGAAGAGAGTGTGTTGACGTATTACTGGATTAAGTACAAGATTATATTTTTAAAAAGCCAGCAACTGCTGACCCAGCAGAGAAGATAGCCACCCAGTTGCTCAGGATGAAATGGCTGCACAAGGCAGAGACCAGCCCCTGGAGGAGAAGGAGCACGCTAGACCTGCAGCCAGCTGGAGCTGGGGCAGCTACTGGGATGGAATAAACTGCTGGAGACCATTCAGTCTAAAGGGCAGCTTGGGCTGGAAAACATTAGTTTTGAATTAAGGCTGGAAAACATAGGCACTGGGTGTATTTGCAATAGGTTGGGAGTGGGATGAGACAGCATCATCTGTTCTGGCATTCAGGAAGTGGTGAATAGGGTGTATTGGCGATAGGCCAAGGAATCAGGGTGGACCTGCCTATTGTCTCAAAATATTATATCATGATAGTGTCTACTGTCCAAACAAAGGAGTCCCCAAAAGAACAAAGGTTAGACATCCTGAATTAGTTTTTTTAAAAAAAACCAGAACAATTTTTTTTAGAATTAAAATTTGTGGCTACCGTTGCATTATATGTTGTTATTTCCAAGCAAATGTTAACTACAGCAAATTCTTCCACTCAAGGCTGGAAGGCATTTCTTATTGCATATAAAACTAACTTTGGAGAATAGTACTATGCTTTATTATGTATACTTTTTATTTTTACCTCTAGATCCATAAACATTATTTTATTTTTAAAAAAGAGGATTAGAATGTTAAAGCTTTCAACCCTCTCTACATCCTTGGTTGTGAATCAATTTTGGTGAACTCAATAGTATACATTACTTTTTTTTTTTTTTAAAGATAAAGCAGTCTCTTCAGTTTCACTAGTGTACCTTCTTAAACAGTGTAGCTAATATAGGGGCACTATAGTGCTTAGCGGTTGAACTAAATTCCAGGGCATCATGATACTTAGGCATAATTCACCCAACAGCCAAACCTAAATATCTGACTAATGAGCATGCACTTTTTGCCATCTAACCAGCTGCTGCTTGTGCTTCTTTAACAAGAGTCTTAGGCTTAACACCTCTGCCAAACCCAAAGAAGTCATAGTTTTTAATTTATGGAAACCAGAATTTCCAAACCTAAGGCAAGGTACAAATTCGTTTTCTGTAAGGCCAAATTAATGGAGATGAACTTGGTTAAGACTTACACACGTGGCCAAAGGTATGTATAAGATGATGCTGTGTACTTGAGCTTTTTGGTCTAGCGTACTATGCAAAGGTAGCCATGCTGCTGTAGGATGCAAGCATAGATCTGGCTGGCTCTGTTGAGCTGCAGGAAGCAAAGGCTTGGCTTAGAGTAGCAGAAACCTAGGCTGATGAGGCAGTGGCAGCTGTGGAACCATTGATAGATTTTTTTCCCCCATATGCTTCCCCCCCCCCTTTTTTTTTACAATTTTCAAAATAAAACCTGGCAACCATTTTTGATGCAATCCTCCTTGTTCACTATTTAGACTCCATAACAAGAATTGTTTCAAAACGTTTTGGCCATCCATTCTGCTACCCTCATAGCAGTGATATTATGGGTCCTCAAAATGACAAAGGATTGAACATTTTGTTACTGCAAACTTTCTTACAGTCCTCCAGCTCCAAAAAGCTTTGGATCTTCAACTGCTCATCTTCTGCCCATTTGGAATGAATTTTTACTTTTCAGCACAAAGTTTGTCATTTGCTTTTTGTTTTAAAGACATTTGTGAGAGTCCTTGAAAACCTTTGGAAATGCCATGAGCTTTTGGCTGAAGGCAGATATATAAATGACTGCCAGAGCCAGATGTGGGCTTTTTGATCCAAATGAAAAATTTTGAATTGGAACCAGGACTCAAAAAAGAGAGGGCCAGAGATGCCTTGGCTAGGGGCCTGCTGTATGTAGTCATAGAATATAAGCTGTAGCCGAAAGGCAAAAGCTTTCAGAAGTCACTGGAACTTTCATGAGAAGCTCAAGCAATAGAGAAAATTTGCTAGGAATAGGAGAATATGATGAATCTCCTGATGCTTCTGCTGTTTACCTTGCTGCTGACAGTCCCCTGCTGTTGTGAAGGAGGTAAGGGAATGTGACATATAGGAGTGACTCGCTCCTGTCCTGCCACTTCACTCATGTGAGTGAGAATGCCTCACACCTATTTCTCCATACATATTTAGGGGTTAGCAGTTAGATTCTCAATATGAGATCTGCTCCCATAAATCTGAAAGAAGGGTTGACTTTCTCACTTAAGAAAAGTGACACACATCTCAATACAAATGATGAATGAACAGACATGTGATCAACATTTGAGTAGTTTCTTTCTCTCAAGCATGAGAAAAATTAAACTTGATGTGTTTAGATTATTTACTTACTGTCAAAACAACATTCACAATGAATTTATATCCAAATTCCTTCTTTTTGACTTTTTAAAACAGAAAATGAAAAAAAAAGTGTTTGGTGGATTGAATAGAGTTTTTGTGGTAACCCACAAAAGAAAATAATTTCTTTTCATATTCTTTTTCATAACCCTTCAGCTTTAAAATTTAGAAGACAGAAGCAAGCATCTCATATGACTTACACAAATGGGCTTATTTAGAAAGCTCTGAAAATGTAAACTATTAAATCTTTTCCTGAGTATATTTACATAATTGCTTAAAAAGAATGATCTAACACAATGACTACTGTAAATACAAGTAATTGTGCGTGTGTGTTTTGGATGCTGTGCCTAAATGAGTGGGCATACAAAGTCCTTGAGTTATACTAGATATCTCATACTATCTTATCTTTTTTTAAAGAGATGAACAAAGCTGTGGATGAAGGTAAGTACTTCCCCATTACAAATCCTAACAGAAATAGTATATACAGTTTGTTGGCTTGATGTCTGTTTTTCATCCATCCCTTTAGAAAAGACCCAGAAAACTTGTTGGGAAAGGGGTGACAATTTAGGCTGCCTGAGAATGAATGATAGGGACTCACTTGGGAGAAGACAGTTTAAGGAGTAGGCTTCCCCTTTCTGTTCTTCCAATTTGCTCGTAATCTCTTGAGCCAGATAGGAGAAAGTTATGGCTTCCTTGATTCTCCATGCTCTTACAAATTATAGAGCTCAATTATAGCGAAAAATATTACCACTGTTCGTCATTTCTGAATTTTTCAGAGAGTTAAATAACATGGAGAAACTTTACAGGAAAGCCTGTGGTCCCTAGCAGCTTAAAGTAACTTAACACACACCTCTTTTACGTGTTAAAAGAGACCTGGCACAAACTCAATTTACCTATTAGTCCCCCAATGAATAAATGCCCTATTGGCTAGACACATAGGAGCATTCTTGCTGGATAGTCTGGTAAAAAACTAAGAAAGGTTCTAAGAAGGTAGTGACCAAGTCAGTCTGTTGCAGCAAAATAAGTCTCACAGCACCTTAAAGACTACCTGATTTATTGTAGCATAAACTTTGTGGATTAGAGCTCCTTCCTCATATGCTATTTGATGAAGGCAGATCTGAGGCTACCATACAAGATTTCACAAGACAAGTCATCTCTATCTTCAAAAGGGTGTATCAGGCATACATTTTCTTTAGCCATTCAACAGAATTTAAATGAATTTTCTTCAAATTCCCCCTGGCAAATTTTTCTATTGAAAGGTCTCAGCTTTCAAAGCTCACTGACTATTCAGAATGTTAGATATTTACCTGTGATACTCAGTGATTCTTGATATTTCATGTATGACACAAGATAGTCTACAGCACTGAAAGCTCTTCTCATGGTATATGTCATGGTATATCAATGTAGTTTTTGAATTTTCTGGCTTCAGGAAACATTTTCACAATGATGTTTGCCAGACAGAACCACTGTATTTACCACATTTCCTTTTGGAGAAGACGTGTTGCCCGATAAATGGGGCATATTGAGTCCCTAAAATCACTACCATGTGACAATCCTCTATATCTGCACATTGCAGAGGCTCCATTGTACTTGAAGCTATTTTTCATACTGATGAATTATTGATACGTTCTCAAAGAACTCCTGTTTCCTGAATGTAGAGATGGTATTTTGTCAGTCATATCCCTGGATGGACAGTTGATGGGCCTGTGAGAAGCTGGGGCTTTGAACAGATCTGCAGGGTTTTCTTTCAGTCAACATCCTGTGACCCAAACACTTCATCTGGGGCAGGCTTTGGAAACCCTAATGTTTTGGTTGCAGAAGATCACACTTTGTATTCTGAGAGGAGCTAAGGGCCACAGCACACATGTAAGCAGAGTTGGGTTGGGGGGATGTTTGGGGAGTTTTATTTTTTAACTGCTACTCTACTCTAAAATAGGAGTTAAACGGCAGCTTTCATCTGCTTCCTACTTCAAACAGGCAGGAAACTATCTTTGGTCTTCAGCAGCAAGCCAGAAAAAGGGAACTCAGGGGTCATAGATTCAGTTTAGGGCTGGTTCCAAACTCAGATAGGATGTGAGACAATTCCTGTAAACAGGATATTTTAATTATCAAACATTTACAAAGTCTAAAGATTTACACTTCAGTGTTTCACCTTGTTTGTTCCTAGATTACTTTCTACCCTGTTTAGCATTTAACCTTTAGTATCCTATCACCTGTGTCAAGAATTTGTTTTCTCTAGTATCTTATTTTTACTTATGCTATGTGTCTGTGTTCTTATTCTATTCCTTATTGTATGCCCTAGCTTGTTACAAGACTATTCTCTTTCATTGTCCTATACCTGTAGTCGAATACCATTTAATCCTATAGTTACGGTTCTTTGCATGACTGTAACACAACTGTTGCCCACACCACACGACTCTGTCCAAAGTCGCTTACTTGGGTCTTGATATGCTGGCTCTGCTGTTGGGGGAGATTCGGGCAGACTTCCCTCTGCTGCTCTGGGCTTCTAAGGGGTAAGGATGGTGCTGGGGCTTGCTGCCGGGTAGAAGCATTGAGGGGTTGGGAATTCTTCTTTTCTGGGCTGTTGCTTTGTGCCCACAAGCCCCACTTCGGCTGCTGCGGGTGCTCTGGGCCTCCAATAATCTCCTGGCAGCACTCTGGGCCTGCTTATAGTGCCGTCGTGGATGCCCATGATCTGGGCCTTTGTTTGCCAGTGCCCTGTGCTGCATCTATTTGTCAGCATACTCCATATAATTGTGGGTGTCCCAGGCTTCACTGGAGCACAGCTGGCCCTCTGCCCTAGTGCAGACCTCCTGAACGCCAGTGCTCTGACTCACCTCAGAGGGGTTTGGGTGGCGGTTCTTGGCTTACTGGGATCCTCATCAGCAACACCCTTGTCCAGCTGCCAACACCCTGCTGTTGCAGCCACTGCTCGCTCCTCTAGCTGCATTGCTGCTCGGTGCACCAATCCTGATACCCTGGGCTACTGCCAACATTTCTTTGCTGTGGCCTGCAAATGCCAACGTGTTGTTTTATGCTTTCCCACTGCCTTCAGGACTTCTAGCAGCCAAGCTCCTTCCTAAAGTGTGTGTGTGTGTGGGGGGGGCTCCGAAAAGGTGCAGTTGGGGGAAAGGCAGAGGTGCTTTGCCATTGGCTGTCTATCCTCCCGCAAGAGGCAGCTGGAATCCCTAGGGCCACAGGTTGCCACCCCTGATCTCTAGGGCATAAGAGGAATTTTAACTTCAGAAACTATTTTGTGCTTGGCACGTAAGAGTTCCTGTTTTCTCATATTTTAACATGTTGCATTTACAACAGGTATTAAAATCAGTCAGGAAAAAGCAAATACCTTTGTCAGAAGGCAGAAGAGGGCTTACCCATATTCTGAAAGGTAATGGAGATATCTGAAATAACTAGTTGAGAAAATATGAATGCATAGATTATGAAAAACATTGAGAGGCCAGCGTGTGTGACTCCACAGCTATTGGAAATAAATGAATTTTCCTTGCTTTAAGTGGGCTAATTTAAATACCACTGCAGGGAGGAGGAAGTGTCCAAAAGTGCTTTTTAAGGTGATATCCAGTGTAATTGATGTAATATTTCAAAAAAGCTTATCTGCATGTATCAGTTAAAATGCATGTTGACTCACTGCACACATTTTATTTGATGGCACAGATCTGTTACAATCACATGAAGGTGCTGAATGTATTTAATAAATGGTAGGAGTATGTTTAATATCATGACTATCATATGCTATGTTGTTGCCTCTGGCCTGGCTGGAGATAGCTATACATATTTTGGCTTCTGGTACTACTGAAAGGGTTCACAATGATGCCAATAAAATACTTGGTTATTTTACTAAGTACATTCAGGACTAAGGTTCTTTTCACCCAGCCAACAAACCTCATGTTCCTTCTAATGGTTTAGAGTTATTCCAGACACTCAGATCTTGACTATTATGATCCTGTATCTCCTGCATCTTGTTTCCTCTAGTTCTGAGGGTAGATACAGTTTAATATCCATCACTTAGACTCACCTGGGGCCCCCCTTATATCTGGTGTCTTAAAGATCCTACTCTTTGGGACAGCTCCACTAATTCTCTGGTCACTGTGTTCCCTGATCCCTGTGTGTCATCATTCCATTCTAGTTCCCTTGGATTTCTTTCCTCATCATATGCTTTTTCAATAATTTCCTTATTGGCATTATAACATTGAATCAGCCTTGGAGGGCTAAGAAAAAATAAACTGCAAATTGGTGTAATTAGTACCAGGAAAAGAAATCATCCTGCATTTTTTTCTGCCACCTCTCAATTTGATAAAAGAAAATTTGCTTTAGAAACTATTTCAAAGGAGAAAATACTTTTGAAGCAATTCTCATAGATAAGAGTACAGTGTTCTTGCACTTATTTAATTCTGACGTAGTTGAAGGCTGTGTGTGAATGCTATTTTTTTCACTGTGCAAACCTCTCTCCAGTGATTCCAGTACTCTTAACTTCTTACATTTCCCCAAAGGAAGACACCCAGAATGAATTTTTCCCATTGGGCTTTTTCAGCAGTGGTACTATATCAACTGTCCTGGGGAGTTCTTGAAGAACTTCTGGTAAAAAGTCATCCAATTTCCTTGCCCATAAATTTGGTGGCTGATTTTAAAATATTGTTTGAGCTCGGCTCTAAGTATAAGGAAGACCCATTAACTTTCTCATCCATAAACTTTTTTAAAAAACTGTAACTTACTCTCAAACGGTTTCCCCATCTATACTGACTTACAGTTATATGTTTATTAATATGTGGTAAACTCTTATAGAGAAGCTGATGCTGTTTAAATGTAAAAATGATTGGGAGGAATCATTTAAGTTAAACTCCCCTTTGCTTCTCCATGAAATAACTCTCTGTCTTAAAGGTGTTATTGTTTTTAAGAAACAGTTATTGAGGTAAAATTGCATATATTTAAGTAACTTTATTTATTTATTTATTTATTTATTTATTTATTTATTTTATTGGACTTGTCCCCGCCCATCTCCCCACAACATTAACTTCCTTCATTATAAACTATTGGCAAATATGGGCATAACAAAAGCAGCAATGCGTTCACTAATAAAATAATCATGGCAGCAGATGAACTACCCATCAATTGTTTATCTTTGAATATAGCTATAAATGAGTTGGGGAACTTGGAATTGGAGTAACTCAGGAGATGGGTTCCTAAGCTAATAGGGAAATGTATAATGGCTTGGCAGATTCTTGTCTGACCTCATCCCCCAACCTGCTCAGCAGAATGAGCTGTCACAAATACAGATAGACTGGCTTACCTCATTTTAAAGGAAATGGCATCATTCACATTAGGAGCTAAGGAAGGGATACGGTGCAAGGCCAGCATGGTTTAACAGCATTACTGCTTCTTCCTCTGATCTTCTCCCTGTTCTTCAGGTACTATGAAATGTTCAAATCCCCAATGGAGATGAAGCAAGAGCAGTGTGAACATTATGCACCCTGTGACTACTACTCTGAAATAGTGGGATTTCCTACAGCATATCGCCATTACTTTGGAAGTGTCTGAATGTAGACATTTCTCATCAAACTGGGACATCTGCAAGGACAAAGAGTGAATGGTGTGAGGCAGCTTACGGAAAACAGGAACAGCATATTGTCTCTATTTCACTAACAAGAGTTTAACAGCAATAGTTTTGCAACATATTCATTTTTTAAGACACAAAATAAGCACTTCCTCTTTTCTGAGGAGTATGTAAGTAGTATTTCTGCTAGTAATAAATTCTATAAATTCGAGCATTTCTTGAAACATGAGTGGCATTTCTTGGAAAGGGAAGGCAAAAATATATTAAGGTAATTGGAAGTTGAGGGCCACGTCTGGTGGCACCCTAATGGTAAAATTTGTAATTGTATCTAGATGTGCTGTGCTAAATGTTCTCACGTTTCAAACTTTGATGTGAAAAAAGGAATTTCTATGGGGGTGGGGGGTGTTGTTGACAACGTTTTTTTCTTATACCAATTCATACTAGACAAATATATACTTATGTTTTTGTCCTGGTTACAGAAGCATTTGTAATAAATAAATAAAAAACAAATAAAACTTTTCATGTTACACAATGCAAGCATTTCAAAGAAACATATTCTTCAGCTATGCTGAGGACACAATCCTTAACTGTAGTAGGATGAAGCCTTATAATGAGATGTTTGACTAGGAACTGAACCCACTATATAAGGATATAGTGATGCAAAAATAAAGGCTTGTTTTTGGTTTTTTGCTCTCATTATTGCTGTTTTGCTGACAACATGTGGTTATTTCATTTAATGACTAAGGAATGGTGCTAAAATATGGATTTAATTTAGAATATTCTTCTTACATTTCTAATTTAGAAGATATGTTAGTCATGACTATTGCATTCATCTGGATACATGAAAAATGGCATCTGGAATGTCCTTCATCTGGAGTTGCTGGGCCCAGTCCACAGATAAATACACTGGAATTATATGTCCGTTTATTAAGCAATATTATGTCCAGCAGAATATTTACTAGAAAAGATTGCATAGGATTGCAATAATCTTCTGCTTCAAATTATATTGAAATAAAGACAACAGATTAATGAGGAAGAACCAACTTAAATGGATTACATTTCCAATGGTTTGTCTTCATCCACTCCATTTGTCAACTTCCCTTAATGAAAGCTAGTTGGGAATGCGTGAAAAACAACCTTGAGCAACGGCCAATAAGCTAGGGGGAAAAAAATTCTGATAAAACTGGCATAAAGGAGGGAGGGAGGATTTAAAGGAGGATGGCAGCTATGTACTGATAAGGAAAGAAGGGGAGGAACATCTTGCTATAATGAGACTTTCCTTAGTTTAATGTGCTGTATGTGGATCTTCCTATGAAAAGAAGTCCAGAAACTTCAACTACTGGTAAGGAACGTTGCTGCCAGCTGCCAATAAAGCCTCCCTTGAGATGCTTCATTGAAAAATTGGGTGGCATTAGAAATGTGTATTCTAACTAACTCCTGACTACAATTTTTTTTTTCTAAGCTGCAAGTGCTGGTATCTTTTTTAAGACTAAATGACTTAAGGCTATGTTTCCTAAACAGCTATCTTCTCCTGTAAATATGTGCCATGAATCAAAATCTGGAGTAACTTTTGTCTCTATCCCATCAACTTGGCATCTGAAGACTTGTTCTGTGGCTGTTTTGAAGTTCTAGAATTAGCACCTTTCTGCTATTCATTAGAGCAGCCTGTTGTTTTTCTGCCTTGACAGAAAGTCTAAAGGATTTTTTCCAAATTATTTTTGAAGCATGAACAGCCCTACCAGACAATCTGTTCCATCCAAAAACTCCTACAGCTATGTTCCTATCCTATGCTTAAATATTTGTCTTGGCCCATGGCACCAAAAAAAAAAAAGGGGGGGGAGAGATATAAATATATAAACATGCCATTTGTCTAGGGTTGTCCTGAGAAATCAAATGCAAAGAATTGAATGCCCATGTTCAATTTTTGTGAGTCAGCTAGGGGCCCATCCTGGTTCTGGTCACACCCACCCACGCCAGAACTGGGCACCACCAAGGAGAGGTGAACAAACAGGATTCAGTCTATCCTCCTGAATCATTCCATTAAACTTACTCCAAAGAGCAGAATCAGATTAATTTTGTGTCTTGATGCTGTGATATCTACTTCTATTCTGGCTAGAACTGGAAAGGGAATTATTTGTCAAACAATTCAAATATATGGGAATTGCCAGGCAAAAGCAAATGCTATGGGATCAAGATGCTGAATATGTTAATTTGCTTTGAAAAAGAAACATGGAATGAGGAGGAAGGAGAGACTAAACAGGCTCCCTGTGTCAAATTATTTCTGTAAAATTGTTGCTTGTAATTAACTGGAATTGAAAAGTAAGATAATTGATAAGAAAAGGAGGAGAATGGACATGGGATGAAGAAATGAAGGAAATGAAGACCACAAACATACAGTATAAGTAATTAAGCAGTAGAAGAGAGGAAATAGCATGGAGAACAATTAGTTAAGGGGGATAAGGCCCTTTCAAGGGAATTGATAGAAAACTTTTCAAAGTGTATCGAGGGGAATATTCAATAGGAGCCAATCCATGTACATATGCCTTTGTTGGCACTGATATTACATAAAAAGACATTAATGCATTTGAACTTTGTATGGAAATGCAGATGCTGCAATCAGAAGTTTTCTCTTTTTTATTTGCAACTTTTTTGCTGGGTAAACAGAAGCAAATTTCTAATAGCTGAATAATGACCTTCTGGTTCATTGCCTTTTGTCAATGATCAATGTGACATACTCTTCAGCCATCTTAACAGATCTTTGGAAACATTCACAAGCTGCTTTCAAAGTTTGAACAGCTTCTACCATGAGTCCTGCAGCCAACTCAGCCGAATCCTTGGATGTTTGTCCACAGTGAATTATCCGCGTGAAGCCAGTAAATGAAAAGGAAGTGGCAGAATGGAATAACTGCGGGCCTTCTGTTCAACTGGAGGTACAGTTTGGGATGAACTGGGATTGGAGTCTGGAAGTACTTTAGCAATTTCTTCATTGGTCACGAGAAGCTTGCACACTTGAAGAGACACTACGAGTGTGCTCATTAAATTCTGAATAGCAGTCTCAAGTGTTTCAGGGAGATTACCATGCTTAATTATAACTGCACAAATGGGACTACAGATATTTTAAAAAACTCCATCATATTGACCATATATATCTTTTACAAGCCTGATTTTTTTCATTAGTGGAAAGACTGGCAGAATAAGCTTAGAATACAAAGGAACATCAATTTTCCCCTGGACATCCTTGTCTTTCAACTCTACTAGCATCTGTATCTCTTTCAGAGCACTCTGTAGGAGCTCAAGATTTTCCCTGATGGTAAGGTTTTCCCATACTGTAATTATGGCCAATTCACTTCCAAGAAACCGGTTGAGCATTCAGAATATGGTGTTGGTAGAAGAAACAAAAATGTAGGCCCAGTCATATATATTGCAGCTGGCTTTGAGTAGTTTCTCCTCAGACCTTGCTCCACCAAAAATGGACTGCATTTCCATAAAAGGATATGTCACATTGAAATTCAAACCAAAACCATGTTTAATGGAAGAAAATCAAATACTTCATTTTATGAAACCATAGGATAATATATATTCTATGATGACTAGGCCATGCACAAAATATTTCTGATGCATTTCCATACTTGGAGCTAGTTCAATATATTTTATTGGAATGGCTATAAGAAAATATGAATAGCTCTTTTGGATCAGGCCAAGCCCATCTTTTTCCCCACAGTGGCCACCTGGATGCCTCTGAGGTGCTTGCACATAAGAGGAGACATGCCCTCTCTCCTGCCATTGTTCCTTTGTATCTGGCATGAGACTCCCAACAAGACTAATAGCTGTGTCAAGTCCACAAAGTCCAAACCCCGATTCAGAAGAATTCTCATGAAACCAGGCCCAGTTCAGATAAATGCTCCTTTATTGTGT